ATATATATAAAGTTTATATTAGAATAAGATACAACACTATATAAGATTAGAGTCAATCATCAAATTTTAAATTTTTTTAGTAGAATTTCAATGTAAGTTCACATGAAGGATATAAAACACAATTTGATATAATGTTAATTTTTTAAAACATATGTATGACCTTTTAATTATACTACATCTTTTAATATTTATAATAAAGATAATTTAGGAAAAATTTTATAAAAATAACAAAACTTAATATAAATAACCAACTTTTTAATATGCATAAAATTAATTATTTATATTGATAATAAAAAAATAAAGAGAGTATGTACTAAAAAAGAAGAATATTTGGATAGAAATAGAAACATAGGTGATGGGTCCATAAAGGAAGGTGATGATTGTAAAACAGTAAGAGAGGCACTTACTTTATTCATAATGGTGAAAATAATGGAAGAGGCACTGAAGGTGAAGGACACGTGATCTGAATTAGTGAGATAATTATGGCATGTTTTATTTTTTTTCTTGAGTATGAATGCGTGGTGGTGTCCACACAAAGAAGAAGACCATTTATTTTATTTTATTTTTATTTTTATTTTATTAAAAGCACTAGGGTTCATTATCTTGGTGGAGTTAAGTGGGGAACACAACTTTTCTAATCTCCGAAATTGGTGAATAGTGGTTTTGACAAATTGGATCCACAACACAATGAAGATGGAAAACGTAAATGATGAAAGAGGCTTGGGACGAAAAAGTTTCTTCTTATTTATTATATTTTTCCCCACCCAACTAAATTTAACACACCTTATCATCATTGACATCCATGCATTTAATGGGGCATCATATTTTGGTACACATGCCATTCCATGGAACACACCACATACCACATTCATTACAATTACATCCAACACTACTGTATTTTTCAAGCAACAAAAGTACCACTACTTTCAATCAGATTCAAATACACATAATGTTTATCAAAATTCCTTAATTTTATCCTTTTTAAATTTTCATTACAAGACATTTCGAGAAAAAATAGATTACAAGTTGGAAAAAAGTATCTTGCTAATCATAACAATTAATACTTTTCAAAAGCTAATTCATATTTCAAATGGATATATTAAAACATTCCAAACACTTTTACTTTATATTTTTTTAATCTTTATTATTATAAGACACAACTTAAGATAAAATAGTGATATTTTTATAAGATGTTTTTATCATTTTTATCAAATATTAGTTTTATCATAAGTTTTGATATAGAATAATATGAATAAGAAAGTTAAAATTAAAATATATCATAATATTATTCTATAAATTCAATAAAAATAATTAATATAATTATTTATATTTATTTGTGTGATTTAATTAAAAATATTTTATAATAAATATCTAAAGGTATATCAAACTCCTGATTATCTTTTAAAAAAAACTTATATCCGTTTAAAAGCAAAGTTTTTTCTTTCTATATCATAATAATAACATAAAAGTAGAGACAAAGAAAGACAAGGAAAAAATAGATAAAGTAATTAAATAATAGTGAATTGATTTAGTTTAGCCACTTGTATCCTTCTGTTGGCCACATGACAAGTACAATTCTTGTCCTCTTTCAGTTTAGATGCTTAACAATACTGTATGTTATTTATTTACTTTTCTTTTTTTTTTTTCTCTTTCTCATTACCACCATAATGCTTTGAAATTATCTTCAGTTTTAGATTTTGATAACATTAATATTAAAAATTATTTCAAAATAATTAATTCCAAATAAATAAAATTTTAGATTATTTTTTAAAAGTGAGTTTAAAAATTATTTAATTCATATCATAGATCAATGCACATTATTATTTTTATTTAATCACTATTCTCAAATTTGAATATCAAACTCTCAAAATTATCTATCAAGTTCAAATAAAATTATATCTAGTAACGTATTTATGGATATAATTTACATCATATCAAGATCACAAAACAAGATGAAGTAAAAATAAATAAATAAATAAATAAACAAAACTAAAATGTAAAATACAAAATAGATAAGAAAATAAAATTATCTTTATTCAAATTCATGTAGAAATATTTCCTCATATCACTTATGTAATTTAGGTTGCCTTGATGAAAAAAAAAAGAGTCTCATAAATATCAAAGTTCAATTCATCAATCTCATCTGACATTTCCATTATTTCTCGAAGAACTACATACCACTTTTATTAGACGAATCAACAACGCAGAAGTTTAATACATTCATTAGTCCCTAAACTTTAAATAGGTTGCTAAAATTTTAATTTTCGCAATAGAATCTGTTCTTACCGGGAATTGAGGTAGAGTTGATCCGCTGGGTAAGATTAGTGAGTCTCCTTCGCTGGTACGCTTGCTGCTCCAAGATGGAGGTAGTACCTGCAAAAGAGACTCCGATGTTAAAGTTAGTATTTGTGGGTGTATGAGTCTCGTATAAGTAATGCACGTACCTTTGTGTGTATTAGGGTTTTGTCGGAAATTAGGATAGAGATCAGTTTATGACCTAATTGGATAGCGAGTCGATGTCGCCTAGCACGTGTCCGAGGTCACTCCGTGCTACCAAGCTCGAGCTCGGCATAGCGGTACGGATAGTACAGAATCTTTAATCATTTCAAATTTTTGTAATAGGACACCTAAGATTAATGGCCCTTTTACAAATTTTTGACATACGCTCATGTATCTAATTTCAAAAATTGAAAATGCATCAAGCACAAAAGCTTACAAATAAAAGATGATGAATATCATTAGAATTATGTCGATCCATTATATAATATACTAATAGTAAATAAAATAATGTTACATCATCAATGAAATAAATACATTTTATATTAAGGATTAAATATTAATTATAAATTAAACAAAAATAATAATAATAAAAGAGTTAATCACCTATACACTGCCAGTGTAAAATTTTTTTATACCGGCAATCAATTAGATTTTTTAATTGTGTCATGTCACTGTTAAAAGTAAATGTGTTTATAGTGACATGACACAATTAAAAGATCTAATTAGTTGTCAGTATAAAAAAATCTTTACACTGACAATATATAGGTGATTAACTCATAATAAAATTACTAAAATAAAGAGGTAGCCTGATATTTACTTTACATATCTCTCCTCTTAACCCTAAAGAAACCCCCAATAGAGGAAGAATGGTTCGATTTTCATCCCCTTGTTGAGCCTAGTCACCAGGCCCAAATACGCTCCCTATCCCTAGCTTCACCATCTATCATTGGCCTCTCAAGGTAACATTCTTTAACCATTTTGAATATGCTATTTTCAAAAAATAATTTCAACCAGCTATTATTTATTTTATGGACCACTTACTGTGTAGCTTAATTTGGTCCGTCGGATAAGATTAAATTGGTCATTTTTATTTTTTATTTAAATTATAAATAATAATAGTAGTAGTAAATAAATAAAGTACTAGTTTAAATAAACTTGGTATATTTTAGGGTTGTTATGGTTTGGTTCTATTTGCCTCTCTTCTTTATTTTTATCGGCCAGCCCGTTGAACAATACTTTTTTTTTTTTAACACAATAAATATATAAATTAGAGGCAAAGTTTACTTGTCTCATTGGATAAGGCACTAAAAATAAACATAACTGGTGATTGGGAGTAAACATGGAAAACATAAGAAATTAAGAGAGTGTAACTTGGTTGAGTAGTGTGTGTATTTTAAATTTTATTGGTACCCGTGATCAATTCCTATGGATAAAAAAAATGGAAAGCCTAAGAAGAGAAAAACCCATAAGCATGAGAAGAGTGATTTAAATTTAGGGTTTGTTTTGATTTTAATTATTATTGATTTAATATTTTAAAAAATAAATTTATTATTTAATCAATCATGTGTAATTTTTTTTTTCGCTATCATTATCAATGTAAAACATTGTGTTATTCACTGAAAGTTTCAATGCATTTGAACTAAAATATTAATATGCTAGAATCGTTATTTTTAACGCAATTCATGTTAGGATTATTCAAAATTATATTGAAATACTATTTAACCTGATTTTAAATAAATTTTTTACATATTTGGTTTCATGTTGAGGAATATTGATTCAGGGGTTTACGCCTGAATTTGACTCAAGAACTTTAAATAACTTTTAGGTTGAATAAAAAAATGTATACTGAATTTAACTATATACTTGCTTTTATAATAACAATATCTAAAAATAATCCAAATAACTTAAAAATCGATTTTATTCAAAATTAATTTTGTAAAATCAATTTTACAAAATCATTAAACACTAAAAAGCACGCGTAATTATTTAATCAAAATCAATTCATGTCAAGTTTGAATATCCATAAACTAAACGGACCAACCCATCAAACTCATGGCTTAACCTTTGGCCCGTTGAAACTTATTTTCTCAAGTTTGAAAAAAAACCTTTCCTTAGAAACACTTTTGGGCTTTGGCATTGAAAATGTGATCAAGTTAGTGAAACAGGGAAATAAATTGATCAATAATATTCCAATACAGAATAGTTTAAAAAGAAAGAAAAAAAAAAATCTTTAATGACCCTATTCTATGTATAGAAAAATATTTATCCAGAAAAATCAACTTCTAAAATAGATTTTAGTATATTGAGAGATTAATTTCTAATTTTTTTACTAAGAAATAGCTTGGATTACCAGTTGAGTATCATTCTATTGTTTCAAACTCGTCACCGACACAGTTCCAGGATTGTTTTGATATTAATGTTTATCAGTCCAATTTCTTCCTCTCTTTTTTTGTGGATACGCTCCATTTCTTACTTCCACGTTTCCCCTTTCGCCCTCGACTGTCTGCATCTTTGATACATCATTTTCATTAATCAGAGAGAAGGGGAAGTCGCATTACATAACAGTGGTACTATAAAAATATTAAGTTATTATAGGTTTTCTAGTAAAAATTCATCGAAAAGATAGTGGAAGGTTATACTAAGAAAGTAGCACTGACTTGGTTATATCTCTACATATTTTATAATTTTACTATTATGGAAGCACTATAAAAAAATATGGTGTAAACTCATGATGCCAGTTTATTTTTCTTTTCCAAGTGACTTATTTATTTTTTATAATAGTTATGGATGATTATAATCTGCATGAAATTGCGCAACCGAGCCTTGATGTTGAACAAATATTAAAATGTAAATCACTTTATTTTTACTTTTCATTAAAATCAGTTCTATGAAATCAAAACTAACCAAAATTAAGTTTACAAATACGTATTAACAGCTCAATAAAATAAATAATAGTAAAAAAAAGCTCTGCAAAATGGGTTCTGGAAGCAGCGCCCAACAAAACTGCACGTTGGTTTTGCAAATAATATACAAGTTGCCAATTGCCACACTGTTAGTATTAGAAGCGCAAAAATCAGTTGATTGTCTTTTTTATATGTAACTGCTCTTGAAACAGATGATGGGAAAAGAATGAAGTTAACACATCATAAATTGATAGTAAAATGGTTCTTCACGGAAGATTTTCTTTTTTTCAATATAAAATAAATAATGCAAAAGGAATACTAAAAAAGAATAAATTGTGTAAGAATTTTATTAAATTAAAATTTACCGTACATGTTTACAGCATTTGCAAGGAAATCACCATGAAAAAGGGCTAGCTCCTAGCAAAAATATTTCATTTTCCACATCTTTTATCCATTGACAAACATGGTTGCAGGTCTTTATAGCCGAGGCCTGCATATGCTCATTTTTCAAAAAGAAAATGAAAATTTGGCCCAACAGTGTAACATAAACATAAATGCAATTCATAACATTTGATAATTGGTCCCTACTTTAATATAAGCTCCCCTGTCTCTGTGTCCGTTGTACCTAAAGTAACACAGAAAAATGCTTTTCCTAGAAATCATAGGTCCAAATTTCACTAAATTGTTTCTTCCCCTTTCACCTGCTCTTATTACTCTTCCCCCAAACAAATGGACCGAATAGCTTAAAAAAACAGCAATTCGAATGATTAAATACTAAATGCTAACCCCTAACTAGTGTCCTAAGAGCACTAATTAAGGAATACAAAGTGAAAAGATTTTATTTAAAACTGTTATTAATGCACTTTCACTGAAAGAGGGATAAAATAAACTACATTAAATTGAACTTATAAATGAACTGAACTGCAGTTTAAACCAAACTAAACTGTTTGGTGCTTAGGAACTAGTGGCCCAGCCTAGTTTGATAGACCCACCAAACTTGACCAAATTGACTTGATTCTTTTTTTGGGCCACTTTTTTTTTTTGACAGACCATTTTTAACACCTCTAATTTTTTACTTTTTTTATAAAAATAATTCAGTTTAGTTCAATTTGGTTTAATAGTTCCGATCAGTTATATATATATATATATATATATATGTGTGTGTATAAATAGTTCAGTTCAATTTTGAGTATAGTTTTAATTTTTATAGTTTAGTTCAATTTTGTTCAGTTTTTTTTAACACCCCTACTTTCACTATGATTTTCAATGCATCCTCGATGCAATTTTCAATAAAATATTCTATTTAATGATTTATTAACCAGTATCCAGAGAGCATTTGGTTAACAAGACCATATAATTTCAAAGATACTAAAGATAGTGCTAGATTCAAAACTTGTAATATTTTTTGTATCAAAAAGTTTTCATTGAAAGTCAAATATGAATCTGAACCTGGGCACTGATAGAAAACATAGGAGAGATGAGACGTTAAAAATGATAATAGAAGATAATTGAGATATCTTCGAAACAAGCAAAAATTGTACCTTGTCTGCAAGGGGATCAAAGGCAGCATAGAGCTCAAAATCCTGTGTCACCCAACAGAGAAGAACTGCCATAAAAAGAAGATCCTGTTAGTTTCATCGAAGTTCAATTGGTTTAGTCTTTAATTGGCAAAGTTATAAAGAATAATGTTAACAATACGCTCATTGAAATACTTTTTCCAATATACATTTTATGATTTATTTACAAAACCAAATGCCAAAAACGCATTTCCATACTCATACATAATTTTCCCACCAAAATGACAATGCAGATATCCATTTCAGACAAAAAACCAAACACAATCAGGTATCAGGTATGATTTATTACCGTAGTTTTCATCTCTTCTAAATTGAGTTTTGTGTGGTCCAATTCCTTTATCATGCATGGATGCAAAAAGTTTCTGGTAAGCTCTATACAGTCTGCAACAATGAAGATAAGTTATACTTCAAACTACAATAGACATGCATAAAGAAAATGAAGGGGAAAAAAACAGGGTACTCAAAGGCATGGAAAGCGAACAAGTGGTGATAACAGTTAATACCTTTTCTGCTGTTGTGGTGTGTTAATTGATGATGGAAACTCTGAAGACACGTATTGATCCAGATATATACTGCGATACATGAAATGCCACAACCCAGCAGGACCCCCAATGCCAGAATTAGCTTCCTTAAATCTGTCAGGAGAATCTGAAGGTAGCATGTGCTGGCCCAAATGAGATGATCCAGAATGAGGCAATGGTGGCAGATCCTCAACATGCATTCCCCCATTTAGCAAGGATCTCTGAACTTCACTAAGGACACTTGACTTCAAAAGAACCATTTCAACACGAAACCTACAAATGGCATGCAAATTTCTGAACCGTGCAAGAAAGATAATTGCTACACAGACACAATATCTTTTTGTAAAGTTAAGGGTAGGTACTACCTCCAATAACAGCATATTGGATTTTTAACAATCATTTACCTGCAATCCTTAAGATTATAAAACGCATCCGAGCTAGTGGTTAGCAACATCAAGTATGTGTCAGCCTGCCACATATATATAAAGCTCCATTATGTACGTTCTAATGTACAAAGTATAAGGAGTCATTTGGTTTGAGAAAATATTTTTTATTTTCACTTTAAATTACAAAAATACCGCATTTTTTCACTTTGTTATTTCAAAAAATGTGAATATGAAACGGGAAAATGTTTACTGTTTCCTACACAAATCTTTGAAAACAGAAAACAAAATATAAAGGTGAAATTTTTTAGATTAGAAGTGAAAACAAAAATATTTTCCCAAACCAAACAGCCATTAAATGTGCCAATGATGTCTTACAATCTGACTCACATCAAAATAATCGATATATGCATACAAAAATGCTGAAGGATTATATCTTGGCAAGCAAATTGGAGAAAATGATTCTGATGTCCTGCATGATAATAGCCCAAGAAATAGAATAAGAAAGTGCAGAACTGAAGGATAAAGCAAAGAAAACTATTTGAAACAAATTTTCTAGTGCAAAGATTTAAACGGTTCTGATGATTGACTGCTCAATAGCCACAGGAAATGTGAAAGACGAATTTTAAGACAACATATATATCTAGGAATGAAGCTGTAAACCACCGCGAGATTGTAACTTCATCTAAAATGCTGGTCATTCTATAATAGAACACTATTCTAAACTGTTTAGTTTGAGAAACTTTGGGAAGAATACATGTAAACATAAATTGCTTTATGGTGTGTTTGGATGAGGAATTTATATAGGGTAATTCATTTATTTGAAGAATTTCAAATTCCTTGAGGTGAAATGCTTTGTTTGGATGAGGAATTTACAAAGAATTTGAAATCCAAGCATTTGTAAATTTCCTTAAAATAGTAGAATTTCAAATTCTCTCAAAAATGGGAGAATTTGAAATTCCTCATATTTGTTTTTCTTATTTCACCTATATATTTTATCTTATCTCTTCATTCTTTTAATTATTGGATATTCAAAAATATTTTTAAAATTATTAAATATTATCTTATATTAATTTTTAAAATTATTAAATATTTAAAAATGGATTAATATTTATTTTTATAAAATTTAATTTAAAAATCTCAACATATAAATATATTTTTAAAATCAATTTTACTATGATGGAATCAAATTATCATATTCAACCTAACAATTTAAAATTTAAAAAATTTGAATTGACTCATCCAAACAAAATATTTTAAGAATGATAGAAATTGAAATCAAAGTAATTCAAATACCAAGAATTTAAAATTTCTTGAATTTGTAAAATTCCTCATCCAAACACACTATTAATGTATATTTCAGAGAAAGATTCAAGAACCTCACGATAAAACATTTCTAATTTAGGAATATTAACAACTAAAGTGCTTAGTTCGATCAATATGTGGATTAATGCTTCTAATTTTTAAATATTTCTACCAGCAGGTTTGTAATTTTGGAATACTAGCAACTCAAGTGGATTATTAAATCAGTATGAGGATAACAAATACCACTGTCGCAACTCCTCCAACATCATTATCTATTAACCACTTGAGTGGTTAACGCTTCTAAATTGGAAGGTTTTTTACATCAGGTTTTCATAAATCATAAATCACCCCATAAATATCTTTAAAAGAAAACACCAGAATGTTTATAACTTCCATTACCAAAATAAACAATCAGTTAAGCCTCTAATGAATGAAAGTAAGTTATTCCATAAAACCTTATGTGAGACTGAATGCTAACTGAAAAACAAAATCTGTACAATTTTACTTGCCTGAAGGATTCTGATGACATGACAAAGTTGGCCAAAAGCAGCATATCATCAGGATGAAGGGAAGCTTTCTGAGCACCAACAAGACTGATTACCTGCATTCAATCTTCAGCATATTATTTTCAATCAGTAATTATGTAAACAAAATCAAGTAGAGTCAAACCTTGTGCCTGCACATCAGTATTGCAAACAAAACACCTGAATCAGCAACATCTTGCAAAATAGCTCCTGCAGCTTGCCTTGTTGCATATGAAAGAGGGAGACAAGTATAGGCATGAAGAAATGTAGCTGGGTTCCTGAAACAATCAGACAAATAAAAACATTTACTACCAAAATTAAAAATAAAAAAAAATTGGAAAACTGAGCATGCTAAGAACAGAGAAACAAACCAACTGAAAGAGTGGATTAGAGAAGAGAAGACAGTTTCTGTTCCACCAAGCAAGGGTGTCATATCAAACTTTGGGTTCTTCTCAAAACATCTGTTTATTGATCTTGTTAGTATGACAAGCATCTGCACATGTACGAACAACAGAGATATATCATATAACCATCAACACAACATAAGGTGTTCACTTGAATGTCCTAAAGAAGCAACAGTAATTGAGAAGCACAGAAGCATGCATAATGAGCAAGCAAATGAACCCACAAACTTCTACAGTGCTATTCAGTTATACCTGACCATAAATTAGCTCCAACTGCCCCCTTAATGACTCATAAGGTTCTTCTGTGGAGCTGATGCAGACTAAGTAAATTGGTCCTTTAACAAGAAAAACCACCTACACGATCATTTAAAGTAGAGATTTCACAACCCTGAAACATTGTATCAGTCCAACAAGACACAATAGAAAAACAAACTCTTTCTAAGGTTTTTGAAAAGTAACATGACCCATGCAGGAAAATAAAGAGATCTGACATGGCAAATCAGCAATTTTATTTTATAGAATTTTGAAATTTTGCATCATTTGGGTAGAAAACCAGTCTCAAACAATAGTTACATGATGAGAAGAGCAGCTCACCAATGAAAAAGCAAGGATAGCCACTAAATGTCAATTACACTTCAAAGCTAAGAAAGGATTGAAATATGATTTTTCTTAGCATATTCTTCAACGTGGGGGTGGGGGGGTTCAAGGAGCTGGTTTTCAATTGAGGAATGCTCAAATGAAACATACTATTAAAGCACAAAAACATGAAGAGATAAAAACACATGACTCCACCTGATGCCTTCCAGCCCTCACCAATTTGATGGAGTCACCCCTAGAAACAGAAAACAAAGAGTCCGTTGCAAGTTTATATTAAAGAATGCAGTCTGTCAAATACATTACAGGAATACAGGCATTATCTAATTGACCAGAAACAGAAACAGCCACAATACCCGCTCTCAACAAAGGAAATAATTGCTTGCAAAGTTGCCGAAAAGCCTGCAAGCCTGTGTTCATCTCCATACCTAGAAGGAAGTAAACAGTATAAAAAAATAACAGAACAGAAATTTTAAGAGAGTAACATAATTTTCGCCCTTGAAATGGACATCATCAGTCAATTTAATCCTTAACATTTATGGAATAGCAAATTCAATCCCTAGCTTAGACAACCATCAATCAACTTGATCGATGAAATCGGCACCATTAATTAATTTGGTTTTTATAATTACCAAATCGGTCAATGTAATCCCTAAAATTGACAACTAGCAGTTAATTCGGTCCCTAATGTTAGAGGTGAAATTGACTTACACACACCAATGCCAAAGATTAACTGACTAATAGTTGACAAAACCAATGCCTAAGGGTATGTTTGAATAAACTACTCCAAAAGCACTTAGAAGAGGAAAAAATGAAATAAGTTTCTCCATAAGCTAAAATTAACTTATGTATAAGCTTAATTTGTAAAAGTTATCTGATATTAGCTTATTTAAAAACTTGTTTTTAACTTATGCATAAGTCAATTTTAAGTTATGGAAAAACTTAGTTCATTTTTTCCTCTTATAACTTATAACCTGGATGAGTTTATCCTAACAAATCCTAAAATTAGTTACAATTAGCAAAATCTAGTACTAGATTGATTTTCCATAATGTGAAACGGCCAAATTGATTGAAAGTCGGTACCTAAATCCTCTTTTTTGTAATTTCAATTTCAAGGATCAAATGGAGCAATGGTACTAAACTAATGTTTTACCCAGAAGCTAAACAATTAAAATTGAGTTTCGTGCAAACTGAACAAACACTAACCTAGAGTATATAGGTTTGCCAGAATGACTGAGAACGAAGAAATGCTTCTTTCTTTTCCTCCACGATATGGAAGCATCATCCTGCACTTTACTCATTAACGAAACGCAACACGACATTCATTCTACAGTTATCTATCATGACGGAGTGAGTGTGTGCCGAACTCAAAGCACATACCTCATCGAGGTGGCGCTTCCCGGGAATCCAGGACGTGTGGGAATCGGAAAGTGAGATTCTATCGATTTCAATTCTGGTGTCGTCCTCGATTTCCTGGTGCTGGATTTCAAATTGGGAACCGCTGGTGGCACTGGTGCTGCCTCCTTCGCCGGCGTAGCCGCTGCTGCCGGGGCTGGAGGGAGCGTCCTCGAGGGAAGCCCTAATCTCTCCCTCTCTTTCTTCGTCGGTCATGGTGGTGATTGGAGAGAGAGAGAGAAGGAAAGAGAGGATTGGGGTTTTGAAGAAATGCGGGTTGTTGCGCTGCCAGTCGCTGCTTGTCTCGGCTGGGTCTGGGTCTGACTCTGACCGGTAGCTGCAGTCAGCTCAGCGGACGTTCGCGTTCAGACCCCGCGCCACGAAATGCGATTTGCGGGCCGAGCTAACAAACTTTCTCCGTTAGGCCCAACGTTTCCCGTTAGTCACACTCGATGCTATTGCTTATTAGTTATTGCTTACCATTTACCATTGTCCTAACTCCTAACAACTTACACAGTTCCATTTTGATTGATTAAATGTGAATTCTTAACTGGTAAAATTGCATATAGTCCTTTTATTCTTTTTCAAATACTCACCCAAACATTCTTCAAATGGACTAAAATTTCGTCAGATTGCACGTAATCCATTATTTTTTTTATACAACAACAGATTATAATGTTATTTAAATAATTAAATGGAGTATTTTAAATATTGTCAATGTCACCTTTTTTAAACAATTAAGAAAAATTAGTAGAGATACATTACACCAAAATTCATTTTTAGCGACTATTAATGCTTTTAGTGGTTTTGTAAATGACTACCAAATTTTTTATCAACAATTAATTAATGATCAATATATTTAAGATTGGTGAAAATATTATCGATATTTATATCAAATGTTGATAAAGATCGTATAAATAACTGATAAAAGTAAAAAAAAAAAAAAAAATTAGAGGTAATTTTTGTAGTCATTTTAATGACTACATAATATATCTTTTTATTAACACTTTTCATTCACTTACAGGTATTTATGTATTAGATTACAAATAGAATCAACTGAAATTTATATAGTTTTTCAGATTTGGTGGGGTAATTTTAGGTAGTGTTTGTTTCCAGGGATTTACTGTTCACGAGCAAGGAAAGGCGAAGAAAATTGCTATTTGTTTGTGGTGATTTGCGACGACGGAAAGACGAAGAAAAGGGGGGAGAAGCGTGGTTCGCGTCCTCCCACAAAAGCGAAGAAAGGAGAAGAAAGTCACGTAGGATTTGTGAAAACCCGGAAATGCCCCTGTCCCATGCATGCATAATCAATTATACGAAGGAAGCATAATCGATTATGGTTGGCCACATAATCGATTATGGCCTTGCATAATCGATTATGACTGAGCATAATCGATTATGACTGAGCATAATCGATTATGCTGGGGTATTTTTGCTTCCAGTGGAACCCAGAACGGCCCGTTCCAAAAATGAATTTTATGTGCAAAATGCGAACTCAGAACGGGCCGTTCCACTTTGGGAACGGGCCGTTCCAGTTTTAGAACGGGCCGTTTCATAGATGGACGATGTGGGTTAATTTGTAACCCCAGAACGGCCCGTTCTGGTCTGAGAACGGCCCGTTCTGGGTATCAAAATTTGTTTTACAAAATATAATTATCATAATATATTTTGTTATTATTATTTATTATTATAAATATTATTATTTTCATTTTTATTAATATTATTATTATTATTTATTATAATTAGTATCATTATTATTTATTATGATTCTTATCATTTTTCTAATATTTATTATTATTCTTATCATTATTTATTATTTTTTTAATAAATTATACCTATTAATATAATTTTATTGTAATTATTATTATTTACAATAAATAATATTATACTCATTTTTAATCCAACGGTAAAAGTGTAAATTATATATTCATCTATTAAATTTTTAATTTTTATCTATCATTAAATTTAAAGCAAATATTTAAATTAAATTATTTTTAAATTAATATTTTATATTTTTTTTAGTTAAAATTTATATATTTATCTTTTAATTATAATAATTAAAAATCTTTTTTTAACCAAATGGCAAAATAGTAATCTTACACAATTATTAATTAAAAAAATTATTTTTATATATCACATCAATCAATTTACTCACAAACTTTCTCTACACTTTTCACTCACTTTCCCTTAATTCAAACAACATCACTTTCCACTCACTTTCCCTTCAAATCCCTCCTTTTCCACTCCCCATTTTCCATCCTCAAATCCAAACAAAGCCTTAGTGTAGAGATCGAAATTACTTAATATTAGTTGGTATGGATATTGGAATAGGAACATTGGTCTCTCATGCTTCCAACTTATAACACAAAACAAGTATATATATTTAATATTTTGACACTTTCCTTCTTAACTTTTATCTTTTGTTAGCTTAGTATCAGTTATATCCAACCACAACTTGCAAAAAAACTTTTGAGAGTTGTAAAAAAAATCTTTGACAACTTGATGTGTCGTGCATGGACCATGGTAACAAAGAGTCTTATAATTTTCAATCACAAACACAACCTCATTAGTATTCTTTAAAAAAATCATATCGCTCTTTGAGTAAGGACTAATTGTTCAAGCTCCCCAAGGTACAATATATGTCATCAACTCTACAAATTTTGTAACTGTGAGAAGGCAAAATGAATTTTCCTTGTATACTTACCATGATTTAACACTAATCATAATTACACATACACCCTTTACTTGATACGAGTTACTTTTTAAAATTCAAACACTTAAGGTAAGTGCAAATAAGGCAAAATTTTAGAGATTTTAGTGTAATCCTCCTTTTATACTGCTTGTAGGTAACATTAAAACATATAATAGAGGTATTGGTCTTTGATCTACGACATGAGAATATTAATAACCTTTGATGAATAGAGAAAGGCTGAACATGACGAACATAAGCTAGCACCAACATGACTATAAGATGCAAGATTGTTGGTGGATGAGCAAAAACCTAGTGGAAAATGACTAACATTTTGATTATTAACCGATCTTTGGCCTCGCTACAGTTGCCTAGGATTGAGGTAATTAGAACAAGTAGAGTGTGATATAAATGTGTGTTTAGTAAATGTGGTGTTTTAAGCCAGAGGCAAAACTTAATAAAAATTTAAGAAAAAACTACCTTTTGTTCGGGGATTTTGTTATCTTAATATACTTTGACACTCAAGCCAAAGCAATGTTAAACTAATAAAGGTGTAGTTGGAACTGATGTCTAGAAGAAGTAACATTCATGTCTAGATTATGCTAACTTTGTTTTTAAACAGATCAAACAACAAACCTTCTTATAAAGGTTACAAATTTGAAAATTTTACCAATATTTGAGAAGCATTTGAGTGATAAATAACCACAAAAAAATAGAGGGAAAAAAAAACATACAAATATTTTTGGTGACATCAACATGAAGATTCAATTTGATGTACATGAATTCCTACTTTAACAAGATCAACCACTAAAAGGAATAAACTATAAATATCTTTCTCTTGAAAATCTTTGTCAGTTTTTCTATACAACCACCAAAGTCCAATGCAATGCTCCTATCAACTCATCTTTGTTAAGATTCAAAGGAGTTGTACCTAAACACTCACTACTATAATTTCTCTTATTACATGAAACTTTCTGCGAATTTTTTGCAAGAAGAAAAAAAATAAAAAGAAATTACTATTCGAATGTAATTTTTGTACAATTTCTATTAATAATTATTCAACTTTCAAATGCTTACAATGAATTCATCTAACATGCAAATTATAGGTCTAATACTTAACCATACAAAATTAACTTGTAAGGTGAGTGTTGCCTCAATTTATATACACTATAACATGTAAATCTTTTCCTTCAGTCGGTAGTTCAGTAAGGCCCGTGCTATAGTGATTTGTTCTAGTTCGTCATTGTTCTCTGGCTCAGTTGAAGACTTGGCAGTTTCTTTTGCCACTGCCAAGAAAGAAAACATTAGTTAATTCATAGTTGATCATTTTTATACATACTTAAGACCATAGTTGCGAATCATGGATAACATAAAACGTAGCAGTCAATCCCAGACACTCGAAAATGACCAGTATACTTGAACATTATGGATACAAGATAAATAACTTATATAATACATATATATGAATACTCAACAACAAAAAATTACCAAAATTGAAGACATATTTGTAATTAATTAGTGGAAGTTCTTGCTAGGTGCACAATCACACACAACCTAAAACACAATAAACAAGTCATGATCAAACGCAGCAAAGCAGGAAAGTAGGCGTTGGTGGAACTAGAACAGTGTGGGGAACCACAATTGTGTAACAAGTTTGATTGTTGGCCTGTCTACGCACCCAAATGAAGAAAAAAAAAACTCAATTAAGTAACAAGTATAATCAACTAGAAAGTAAATGGTTAAATACTATATCTAGAAAGTTGTGGGAAACAATGGTGAGTGGTGACAGGGCAAAGACCTGATAACAAAAGGGCAGGTTTGATTGGAAAATGATTGAGTTTCTGGAATATAGTTGCAAAACCAACAGAGAGAAAACTGAAGTGTTAATAGGTGGGGCCTTTTTATAGATTTCATGCATTTTTGGTTCAGCTTAATTTGGAAATCTAATCACAGATTTTGATCAACTTCCAGAGAGAATTTTTGAAAATAAGCTATTATCTCCCATATTTAAGCTGAACCAAACGTGGTAGAAAGCCATAATATCAACTACACTCTGCTTAATGTATAAGCATAACGTGATAGAAAGACAGCGAACAATTTTGAGCAGCCATGGGACTCCCTGTCCTGCATTGCCACTATAGCAGGGTGATTTGCTTCTATTAAGTAGTTCACTAAAAAGTTAAAACTCAATTGGACGAAAAGAAATCGACAAAAGGAAGATTGTAGCGTCACATATGCAGGTAAAACTATCTGGCACATAACATTATGTCATCTGAAAGAAAGTCACATGGAAAAAGGATCTACAAATGCATTGAACATGGTCTTGGCCTTTACCCCGGATAAGCGGGCACTACAGGCGAATTTTCGGAAGAAACAGGCAGTGCACTGCCTCAGAAGCCCACATTTCTTACGCAAATTTCGGAAACAGGACTGGGCTGGGAATTGCGAGTGTTCTAGTTTGTGGTATTTTGAAGCAATATTGACAAGACAAACTGAAGTAAAGCTCGATATCCTTTTACATGAAATTAAGGCATCGAGAGAAAAGGCAGGGAGGCACTTACATTGCTTCAAAGAAGACCAAGCCGCCATAGCAGCATTTTTCTCTGCTTGTTTCTTGTTCTTGGCAGGTTCACCAGTAAACATGATTCCAGCCAACTTTACCGTCCCAGTAAACACAGGAAGATGTCCTAAGCCTGACCTGAATGTAAAGTACTGCGGCAACGAAGCCCCCACCCTCTGAGCAATTTCCTGCAAGAGGTTCTTGTAAACCCCCGTTTCATCCTAAAAATTTGCACATAAGAACCCAACATCACCAATTATAGAATTACCACACAGCACACAAGGCAAATCAATAGACACTCACATCAACATAGAGAGAGAAAGAAAGAAATTAAGTTGACAACAAAAAATAAAAGATGCAAAAGCGGAATCCCTATTTTAGAAAGAAATCTCAGTAAAAGGAATTAAGGGAGGGCGAGGGTAGTATGGTAATTAGCTTACGAGGATCCTGGCGGCGAGGGAGTGAGAGGGAGCGCGGTGGGAGAGGGAATTGAGGGCGACCTCGGCGGCGGAGAGCTCGGCCTGGCGGAGAGTGGAGCAGTAGTGGGGGCTCTCGAAGATCTCGCCGTTGAAGTTGACGGTGGCCTTGAAGCGAGGGGCGTGATCGGGGCCTTCCCGAATGCAGGTGTAGGAAGGGATGTTGAAGCAGCTTCGTTGGGCCAGCTCCTGAAGCTGGTTCTTGTACATTTTCCTCTCTCAGTGTCTCCAACGCGGATGGAAGCGTTAGGGTTTGAGTTGCTGATGGAAGCATTTGAGTGATAGATAACCACAAAAAATAGGATGAAGATTCAATTTGATGTACATGAATTCCGTCTTTAACAAATAATTAACAGAGAAAAGATCAAACACTAAAAGGAATAAACTATAAATATCTTTCTCTTGGAAACCTTTATCAGTTTTTATATACAACCACCAAAGCCCAATGCAATGCTTCTATCAACTCATCTTTGTTAAGATTCGAAGGAGTTGCACTTAAACACTGTTTAGAAGATTCACCTTATAATAAATAACAACAAATCCGTTTGTCCTTCAAATAGTTGTAAAACTTCTAAATCATAAAAATCAACTAGTAAAAAAATACAGGAACTAGAAAATGAAAAATAACGCATTAAGTAGTAAGCATTCAATGAATAAAAGGATATAGTCCTTCTGGTGTTCCAACTAAAATGAGTGCATAAGAACACAACCATTAAAAAAAGATCAATCATCAAAACCTAAACAGCAATGGACACATACAAATTGTACCTGTCTGAGGGTACACTCGTAATCTTCAGGGGAATAGGAGGTCTATTAATAGAGTTTCCTTTAGGAAATAACAAATTTGATGAGGCCATTTCAATTCTTGAAGCTTTTAAGCCTTATACAAGAAACCTGCTCTTGATACCACTTGTTAGTCAAGTAGCCTCGTATAACTTAAGAGGGGGGGGTGAATTAAGTTATCTAATTTTTCTTCTCTTTATAAGTTTTTCTAACTTCTTTCTTATAAATTCAATATCATAAAAAAATTGTATGTAATGATGCAAAAACTTCACAACAAAATTAAAAGTATAGGGAAAGAGAATTGCAAACTTGATTTTATACTGGTTCGGCCAACCTTGCCTACATCCAGTCCTCAAGTCACCCACTTGAGATTTTTCACTATGCTTGTAACCTTTACAAGACTCAAATTCTCCAACACCTAGGAATTCCCTTTCCTCGTGTTTAGAATCACAGACCAACAAGGAGAACAACACTTTCTCCTTTACAGATCAATAGATGATTTGAATAAAGTAGAACAACTCTCTTTTGAAGAGTGGATTTTACACTTTGTTGATCTAGTAGAACTCTTTAGATAATGTTTGCAAAA